TTGACGCGAGCGGCACCGCGGTACATTTATCTACGGTCTGCACACATGTGGCAGGCGTGATAATCGAGTGATCTCATTGGGAGTAAAATGGCCCCGGTTCCGTCTTATCACAGTAACCGCAACCTCACTATTTTTTTGCAATCCTTTAGATCGCAGCTCTTATTCGCCCGTTTCCGGCTTGAGCGGCGTCGCCGTCGGCGTAACCGCGCGCATTGCATTTTGAGAAAAGGCAAGCTCACGTAACCGCGCGTTGCATTATGAAAAAAAAAAAAAATAGCGGAAACATTTTTTCGTGAAATTTAGAGGGGAATTTTAGCCGCTAAATTTATCGAAAAAAATTTCCCCGCTAAATTTAGCGGAAAAACTTCCCTGCCAGATTTAGAGGAAAGGTTTCTCCGGTACATTTAGCGGAAAAATTTTCCCACTAAATTTAGCGGAAAATTTTGCGAAAATTTACCGCTAAATGCGAGGGGAGCAGAATAGGAAGAGAGGAGGGTACGTAAGGGGAGGAGGGGCATACCCTCCCCTCTTCCTCCTCAAGAGCTGCGCTCTATAATTTGGCATTACAGAGAATTGTAAACGTCTTTCAGTTTTTTCTCTCGTGACTTTCAGCACCTAACATTGTCACATCGTCTGGACATCCACACTATACTTTGTTCCACTTCTAAGTGAAAACGTAGCCGACGCTACGAGTTAACGAGACCAATCGAAGCTGCGTCAAAAACGTAACGTCATGGTGTTCGCTATGATTCTGTGCGCGTTCAATCGTCGCTAAATCAATCATGTACGAAGAAGTTCAAGTGACTTGTGCTTTTAGCGTGTTTGTTCGGTGTTGTATGTGTTCGTTCCTTCGACTGAGGTCGGACATATGATGGAACAAAGCATAGTTCCCGATTGAAACATATTAGTGGGAAAATACAGTACACGTTCAACAATGTTAACGGGCATGTTGTTTTACTACAGCAACGTTCCAACGGCTGATGTTCATTGTTTGCCTGTAATCGAATTAGACAGTTTTGGAAGTTTGATACCTCAAACTCGTGTTCGAAGCAAAAAAAAAAAAAAAAATCCGGCGCACAAAACCGGTAATTAATACATTAAAAAAAAAAAAAAAACGTGTTAGTGGGACATTGCTTGTACCAACAATGTAATGCTTTTTCCTTTTTTTATATATAACACCGGCGATGTTTTGGAACACCGACACAGCAGGCGACAGGAGCAGACACCTTCCGAGCATGGAGCTGTTACCATGTACGCTAGATGTTCAACTGGCGCCAGTGTGTACCCGACTTCCGGGATGCAAATCGAAGCAGACAGCAACCAGCCCACCTTTGCGGTGTCCCTGCGCATTCCTATAGCGACAGAAATTGAGGTAGAGGGTGAGATGAGATCGGGCGGGGATTCCAGAGCGCCGAGCTCTGGCTGGAATGATCAGTGGGTAGGTGCAAGGATCTACTCACTACTTGAACGCGTTCGAACGCGAACGCCGAATGCCGGCTTTCAACGTTCCAATCTGTCCGAATTGTGACTAGAGGAAAAGAAAGATAGAATTGCATCTAATCATTCCAACCAGAGCGCGCTGTTCTGATGCCCCCTCGCACTCTGGTCTCCTCTATGTTTCTACCCGCATATGGAAACGCGCGAGCACTTTGTCTCTTCGCCGGAGGATAACAGGGACTACCATTGTCATTTCGGGCCGTAGCGAATAGAATGTACCTTTATTAACATTGTATAAGTGTTTGCTTGATTTACAGTATTTTCCTTCAACAGTGAACGATCTTCGCGATATTTCTGGCTCGGACGTGCGTTCCACAGCTGACGTGTAAGGACAAGCGACGAATATAGACCCGTTGCTCTCGGGCAGGGGGCGTGAGCGCGTCTGCAAGACGCGACCATGTTATGCTGGCAGCACAATCCAGGCGGCGCTGTAACGTTCGATTTTGCACGTGCAACGTTCGAATGCAAGCATCTGTCAGCATCTGTAGACGCGCGATAACAAAACGTCTAAAAAAAGAAAAACTAAAATAAAAAAAAAAAAGAATTGTGCAGCTCGCGGACTCAGCGTCCCATTCAGCTTTATTATTTTATGGCGTTCTTTAATCGCTTTCGTGAGCCCGTATGTTTCATTTTACGTGATAGTGAAGCTGAAGCTACTTGCAAAAACATGTTCCCCTGAACGATGCTTGCACTGCACGAGCGCGCGTGCTTGGAAAAGACAATGCAAGATCGGAGCTCGCTCTTGTAGCCTCTGCTACGCTGGCGCGGCGGTTAGAATGGAACGGAGTATAAAAAACTCTAGTGGGGAAGCGTAATGACGCACGTTCGAAACGCGAGCCAAATATTCTATTTTGCTCGCCTGGAGGGCTGCTCAAAACTTGAGAGCTACGGGCCTATAAGCAAAGTAACAATCCAAAGAGATGTAGAGTGTGTTCAAGGTGCGCCAGCATTCTAGTGACGATAATATGTTGCCAATGTGGCAGCCCCGTCAATATACACGAACTCATCTCTGTTACGTCACGGCGCGGTGGTGGCGCGTCGGTCGCACTTCCGGTCTGGGGCTGTGGGCAGAAGTCCCCATGCCAGACGTGTGTTCCTGCGTTGTTTTGAAAGGAACCAGACAAAAACCTGCCTTCTCGTCAAAACGCCGGAACTGGGGCCGTACCAAAAGTGTGGAGAAAAGTTTGAAGGTCAGTTTTCACGTGCTCGGTTCGTCCGAGAATCTGGATATGTGCCGTGAAAAGGGAAAAGCAGACGCCGTCGGACTACGATTGCTAAGACGGGAAGCACTTTGGATTGAATTCACGGATGCTTGTGGTCATCAGATTTATTTGTTTTCTTCCAACATGAACGCCGGAAAACCGTCAAGTTGTGCGAACCACGTGCGGACTACGTTCAGTGTGTCTTCAATCTCAAACGGCGGCCGGATCGTTCGAACTGTCGTCTGCTGTTTCAAACGTTTCCGCTTGTCGTCTGCTCTCACGACGCCGGCCCGTAGACCAATTGTTGGCCCGGTACTTGCGATAAGAAGTAAGTGCAGGCCTCAAAAGACTAAGGTTTGAAGGTTGGTAAGCAGGCTGGATGTAAACAGTAGATACAAGGAGATGTTGCTCATTGTTACCAGTGGCCATCACCGAGTTGTTATGCCTAATTCACTTGGTCCGATTCTGCTTGCGATTTTCAGTATCAACGTCGACCATCTCAGCTACGGTTCACGCTTTTGCAGCCCGAGCGGCGTCGCGACTGAAAATTGCGAACGAAATCTCATCATGCGAATCGGGCTGTAGCGTACATACTGCCGCGTCCACGCGGAATGAATCGCCACATGTCACATTATTCACGCGAAGTTTTGCGGTGTAACGAGCCTCGGTAATTTCGGTGACGCCGCTCAAGTAGTCAGACATCGCCAAGAAGACGTAGAATCACCGATTCGAACGCAAAAAAGGGCAGGGGGACTCACACGGACGCCGACAACATCGCGTTCCAATGGTTTGTTTATGGGCGACGGCGAGCTTTTTGCCCACACCCCCATCGCGCATGCGCGGCGCCGGTGGCGTCCGCTAGGGGCACTACGGTTTGTTTGTAAACATGAGTTGGTGTATAGAAAAATAACCCCAATCGTGCAACTTTGCGAGCTGTTAAAAACACCAAAAACGTAAAGAGTAAGTGGGTGACAAAGGGCTTTTCTTTTATTGTTTCATGTGGCGACCAGTTTTGACGATACCTGATTTCTAAATTCTCCCTATTAAAAAAAAAAAAAAATCGAACGTGCGGATATTGTTTTGAACGCTAGAACAAGCACCTTGGCACATAGGCATGAGCAGGCAGAATAACGCGAAACTGCTTTATTGCCCATCGGACAATAAGTGCTCCCTTTCACTTTATTGTGATCGTCTATACCACCCGGCCTAAGAGCCGCACACGAAACCACGAAACTTCTAAGAGCCGGGAAGGGGGGGGGGGGGGGCAATTTTAATTTTTGTTTAGAGTCTGACTGTACGTATGAGTGCACAAGGCTGTACGGCAGTACTGCCTTGTGCACTCTTAAGTAATGAAGTAATACGTAATAAAGTAGCCAAACCGCGAGCCGTACTTTATTCTGCCTGAAATCCCGTCTTTTTTTCCTGGGGAAACGCATAAACGGGGCAGGGGGCAGGGGGGAGGAAGGGGGGGGGGGGGGGGTCCGCTTACGAGGGATCCGCGAGCCGCACTTGGACCAGCGAAGAGCCGCATGCGGCTCGGGAGCCGCGGTTTGGCCACCCCTGGTCTATACGACCGGTGGGTTACTGATCAGTGTTAATGCGTAGTTTTGGCCGTCTCTCTTGATTTTCTTGATGCCCTTCGTTCGTTTGGCAGGTAACTCTCCCCCGCAGAAAAATGTACCGACGCCGTATTCGCGCAAACAGTGTCCAACAATGCGCATGAATGCACGAGTGAAGCTATTTTAACACCTTGCTTAATGCCACGAATTTTAACGAAGGACATTGTTGTACCAGTGTTCTAATTTGCATTATGGAGAAACATTCAACTATTTTTTTTACGTTAGATCTATGCGTGATATTTCCTTTTATAATTAAGCTGAAAGAAATAATGTACCCGTCTTTTTCCAATAGGAATGCATTAGCGGCAGTTCATTTGCGACTTCGCTGTCTGGTACAATTTGCAACAGCACACCGTCAGCTGAACATCTAGCGTACATTATAATACCTCTAATGCTTCCGAGCTGCTGAGGATGCTGCTGTCGTCGTGCCCGTCGCTTCTCCTGCAAGAACGACGGTCGCTTTCCGCAATACTAGAAGGGAACCGCGACCCTAGTAAACGCGGCAATGCCACAAGACTTTCGCGACTGCCGCTTTGCGCGTATTCGCATCGAGTTTCAGCGTGCCCGTCGCTTGAGACGAGTCAGGTACCCACTAAGGATGACGTAATACGTCGTCTTCTTTAAGCTGGTGTTGGTAGACTCCCGGTGGATTGGGCGTTAGCATAGAGAAAGGGAGGCTCACGTTGAGTGTGGCCGGGTCCGAGATGAACCTGCGCGTGACCATCTTGCCCGCATCCGGAGTCCGGTGGCCATGTCCGCCGCTGCTGTCACTGCGCTCGGAGGGCATCGCGCTCACGCCGCCCGCGGCTCCTGAAAAGAATCAAAGAACGGGGCTCGGACACTGAGCCCTCGGAGGGAACGCAGGCAACGCGGAACTCTCTCTACTGCACAACTAAATGCGATACCTCCGGGCGCGCTCTAATAATGACGCAGGTGAGCTGGTGAACAATCAAAATTAAAAATTGAAACCCTCTAGACAAGAAAACAAATATCACCAAATATTAGGGCAAGGAACCAAATGAAAACCTTTGGGGTGATGGTGTGTATCTCGTGTTTGTTTCCTTATCTTCAGGTTTTTAATTTGTAATTATGCGCTGTAATAACTATACTTTGTTTCACCTTAAGGCAGGGCGCAGCCCGACGTTAGGAGCCGATGAGCCCAATCAACCCGCGCCAAAAACGCAACGTCGCGTCTCTTGTTTTAGAGCGCAGCTCTTAGGCGCCCGTTTCCGGCTTGAGTGGCGTCGGCGTCGCCGTTGGTGTCGGCGTAACCACGCGGTGCATTATGGGCAAATTTCCCGCTAAATCTAGCGGAAAAATTTCCCCGCTAAAATCCAGCGGAAATATTTCCCCGCTAAATGCAGCAGAAAAATTTCTCTGGGGGGTCACGTGATCCCCCTCCCCAAGGTCACGTGACCCCCCGAGGTCATGTGACACGCCCCAGGTTGCGTGACCCCCCTCCCCGAGGTCACGTGACCTCAGGGGCGGGGTTCACGTGAGCCCACCAAGGTGACAGGATTTCGGGGGGGGGGGTCACGTGACCCCTCCCCCAGGTCACGTGACCCGCCCCCCCCGACGTCACGTGACCCCCCCCCCCCGAGAACACGTCACCCTCAATACCCTTCCCCCCTCCTCCTCACGAGCTGCGCTCTGATTCGGCGTTACAGGGAGCGCAGCTCTTAGGGGCCCGTTTCCGGCTTGAGCGGCGTCGGCGTCGCCGTCGGCGTCGGCGTAACCGCGCGGTGCATCATGGGAAATGTCCCATAATGCACCGCGCGAGCCCCCCACCGGGGTCACGTGACCTCATGGGGGGGCACGTGACCCCCCTGAAGTCACGTGACCCCGGTGCATCATGGGAAATGTCCCATAATGCACCGCGCGAGCCCCCCACCGGGGTCACGTGACCTCGTGGGGGGCACGTGACCCCCCCGAGGTCACGTGCCCGCATCGTCGTCATCATCACTGATGACGTCATCATCACTGATGACGTCACCGGCATCCACATCGTCATCGTCATCATCACTGATGACGTCACCGGCATCCACATCGTCATCGTCATCATCACTGATGACGTCACCGGCATCCGCATCGTCATCGTCATCATCACTGATGACGTTACCGACATCCGCATCGTCATCGTCATCATCACTGATGACGTCATCAGTGACGTCACTGATGTCACCGGCATCCACATCGTCATCGTCACTGATGACGTCACCGGCATCCGCATCGTCATCATCACTGATGACGTCACCGGCATCCGCATCGTCATCATCACTGATGACGTTACCGACATCCGCATCGTCATCGTCATCATCACTGATGACGTCATCAGTGACGTCACTGATGACGTCACCGAGATTCGCATCGTCATCGTCATCATCACTGGTGAAGTCATCAGTGACGTCACTAATGACGTCATCGGTACCCGCATCGTCATCGTCACTGATGACGTCATCAGTTACGTCAGTGATGACATCATCGGCATTGGGGGTCACGTGACCCCCAAGGTCACGTGACCCCCCAAGGTCACGTGACCCCCCCCCTGGTTAGTTTAACCCCCCCCCAGTGCCCTTCCCTCCTCCTCCTCAAGAGCTGCGCTCTAATTCGGCGTTACAGGGAGTTGTAAGCAGCTTTCATTTTTTAGAGCGCAGCTCTTAGGCGCCCGTTTCCGGCTTGAGCGGCGTCGCCGTCGCCGTCGCCGTTGGCGTCGCCGTCGGCGTGACCGCGCGATGCATTATGGGTAAATTTCCCCGCTAAATCTAGCGGAAAATTTCCCCGCTAAATCTAGCGGAAAATTTCCCCGCTAAATCTAGCGGAAAAAATTTCCCCGCTAAATTTAGCGGAAAAATTTCCCCGCTAAATCTAGCGGAAACAATTTCCCCGCTAAATCTGGCGGAAAATATTTCCCCGCTAAATCTAGCGGAAAAAATTTCCCCGCTAAATCTAGCGGAAACATTTACCCGTTAAATCTAGCGGAAAAAAATTCTCCGCTTAATCTAGCGGAAAAAATTTCCCCGCTAAATCTAGCGGAAAACATTTCCCTGCTAGATCTAGCGGAAAAATTTCCCCGTCAAATCTAGCGGAAAAAATTTCCCCGCTAAATCTAGCGGAAAACTTTCCCCGCTAAATCTAGCGGAAAAAATTTCCCCGCTAAATCTAGCGGAAAAAATTTCCCCGCTAAATCTAGCGGAAAACTTTCCCCGCTATATCTAGCGGAAAAAATTTCCCCGCTAAATCTAGCGGAAAAATTTCCCCGCTAAACCTAGCGGAAAAAATTTCCCCGCTAAACCTAGCGGAAAAAAGTTCCCCGCTAAATCTAGCGGAAAACTTTCCCCGCTAAATCTAGCGGAAAAACTTTCCCCGGTAAATCTAGCGGAAAAATTTTGAAATATTGAAATTTTCAATATTTCAATATTTCAATATTTCCCGAGTCACGTGACACCCCGAGGTCACGTGACCCCCTCCCGAGGTCACGTGAGCTCTGAGGGGGCACGTGTTTGCCCCCACGTGACCCCACCAAGGTCACGTGCCCTCGGGGGGGGGGGTCACGTGACCCCCCCCCCCCCCGAGAACACGTGGCCCCCAGTACCCTCCCCTCCTCCTCCTCAAGAGCTGCGCTCCAATTCGGCGTTACAGGGAGTGGTAAACGACTTTCACTTTTTTTTAGTACGATGTTTTGATCGGCTACAGAAATCAAGGGCAAAAGGCGCGCCGTGGCCTTTAATTTTTGTGTGTGCGTGTGCGCTTTTTGTCCTTTGACCGCGCTCCCTCTTGTGGTAAAACGGAGCTTGGGTAGAGTTTACGGCCCTGACGACACAAAAAGTTAGAGTTCCAAATAAAAAATATGTATAAAACAATCTTGTTCTTTTTTTTCCCCATATAAACTGCGCATCGTATAGAGTTCGAACTTCGTGTGAACGTGACAACAACCGTGGTGAAAAGGTGCGGAGGCTTGAGCATGAGACGTTTTCTTGGATCAAAGGACAAGAAAAACAAATTGCTCTCGCGAGGTTCATCTATGCTTCGTCTATTCTTAGCATGGGCTATTGTTACGTGCATGCTCAAAGCGCGAGCTTTCCGCTCTTGATGAAGCCTCGGGGGCTGCATGAGCGCTCGTGCAACGAGTGCTGCTGTCAAGGGAGTCAAAGGTACCCGCTCGTGCTTGCACAGCCTTCGCAGTTAGTTGATGCTAAGGTGAGACGAAGTATAGGCCCAATATCCCTCAAACGTAGAAATGGTTATAATTCACGGAGCATAAGAACAACTCCCACTGAATTAACCACACTAGTCAAAACTTCAAAAGGAACCACTCATTTCAGTGTGAATTGTCTTTTTCTGCGCTGTGAATTATAAGTATGAAATGAATAGCCAACTCGTCCAATCCTCCATCTCAAGAAATGGTATTGTTGGAGCCTGTGGCGTTTATTTTAATGAACCTATCATATAAGTAAGAAAGAAAGTCATTCTTTTTTTTGTTAAGTTCCTTTCACTATACTTCCTTTCAGCTTAAGTCCAGACGCAGCAGACGCTACGAGGAAAGGGGACCAATCAAGCAGCCCCAAAAGCGCAAGTCACTAGGCCTTTTCTGTTTATGATTGGTTCAAAGTCGGGGGCCATCGAAGGCACACACAGAATACTAAAAATAGACAAAAACATGATACTCATGTTTTGTGGCTTCTAAAAAACTACAAATACGTTGATTGAAATAAAAAGTTGCACAGCCACGTGACTTCCGGTAACTTTCTCGTCCCCTATATTTCTTCTCCTTCCACAGTCCAGTTTCGGTTTCGGTTTCTAGCAGTTGCCTTTTTTTACCTTATTAAAAATATACGTGACGCTGTAGCAAAATGTTGATTGGGTAGTCTTCTGACACCATACTAAATCACCTGGGAAAACATTAAAAAAAGTGGGCGGGGGGGGGGGGGGGGGGGGGGTAGTGTCAGTGTCTCTTTAAGCATTCGGCAGTGATCGCCGCGTACACGGGTTTGAACGTATTGAACAGGGGGGCTGCGTAAGTAATCGGGCTAAACTCGGAGCCGATCACAAGCTTTGCAGAAAAAGCACCAGTGTTGCTTGATGAACGTTTGAAAAATGGGCTTCCTTCCTAGTAATGTTAGGTGTGGCACCCCGTATTGAAAAAAAGGAAAAAATTTTGTCACGGATTTGACGAAAAAAAAAAGTTTATTGGTTAACAATTTGAAGGCACTGCAGCTAGCTCTCCACCATACCTGAAAGATTCTTCCCACTCTTCCGAAATTTACATTACATCATGCAATTATATATCGGTTTAATAGCAATGGCCTTACAGACGTGGACAAAGCCAACGAAGCCAGAGGTGCGTGCGGCCTCGGTCTACGTGCTCGCGTGATGGCGTCGACGAGAAGAGCCATTCTAAGCGGCTATACTGGTAGCGAGATTAGCGGCCATCAACATCCGGCTCCCAACCTTGCCGTTCCGGGCAGGGGGTGGGCTATTGTTATTGAGAGTCATTCAGTCTACCCTGGGTTCGCCGCATTCAGTCAGCTCTGCGCACACCTTTGGACAACTTGCGTTGTCTCGGAAGCTGTGCTGAAGCTAATACGTCGTTTCACCTCACGAAGTCAGAGCACAATCAACGCTGCAAGCCGATGGGGCTGATAAAGCAGGGTCAAAAGAGGAACTTCGTGGCGTTCGTCGCTTTTCTGTACGTGTTCTATCATTGGCTACACCAATCAAGTACAGCGAATGCACGTTACTTGCATGTTGAAACGATGTATAGTTGTTCGAACGTGTTGGCTTAACGTAATTACACTAGCCTCGATTGAATC